ATACACACTTGTTGTATTGCTGATTGATTTTTCTCGTTGTTTCAGGTATCTTCTAAAATCAGGCTTCCATGTAATGGCGATAAGACCACCCACAGTACCACCCAATTCTTGCAGGTAAAAACAAAAAAACAAAAAACACTTCATATTTTTCCTATGAAATGAAACCGATTTTCATGATATGAATCTTGATGAAACTCTTGTTCTTGCTGTTGTTCAGGCTAAGGGTGACACTGAGTGCAGCACATACCACAGAAGATGTGAAGAAACTCATCGCTGCACTATCTTCTTGTTTGGACTTTGACAAAACCACTCACATTCCTTCTTTTCTCTCTACCAAACTCTAAAGTCTTAAAACTTTCATTTTGCAACGAATCTTATCTGTGTAGGTCCTTTCACTCTCTATTCATGTTTAGCCATAACTCCACTCACAAATTGAATTTATAAATTCTAGAGAATGCCAAAATATAAAGATAGTATTTGTGGTCTACGATGATTAGAAACGAACACACGTTATTTAACCAAAACCGAAATCGATTATAGACAAATAAAAGTAACCAATATAAATGTTAGACCAAATATATACCGTTTACCCTAAATCAATAGGCAATGGCTAAAGTAAACCGGTCTTGGTTTGATGCTCTTTCTTTTATCGATCTCTAATATTTTTCGTTTCAAGTGGTTTTGAGTAGGTATTAATTAGCTCTAAAAAAGGAAAACATGTTTACTTAGTTCATTTAATTACCGATTAGCAAAGTTCCAGAAAAAGGAAACTAAAACTAAACCCTATAAATAATGATACAGAGAGAGACATTGGCTCTGAAAGTTTCTTTCTGAACACGAAAATCAAAACAAAACCTAATCTTCTTCTCTTTTTTCTCTGTGAGTCTGTGAAACCGTGAAACAAAAACACAAGAATGGGAGGCCTGAAGAGGAAGATTGTAATGGAGAAGATAGAGAACACAGTTTCCAGAATGGTTACTTTCTCAAAACGTCGTCTTGGTCTTTACAAGAAAGCCTCTAAGCTTTGTTTACTCTCCGGTGATAAAATCACAATCTTAACGACTCCGGTTTCTTCAGAATCCAATGTTTCCTTCTTCTCCTTTGGTCACTCCTCTGTGGATAGTGTTGTATCCACTTTCCTCGCGGATCAGCGTCCTACGGATGATAACACCGGGGCGGGAAACGGGTTAGGGTTTTGGTGGGAAGACGAGTGGCTTGCTAAATCTGAGAACTTTTAAAGAGTTGAGTGATGCGTTGGATTCGATTTCGAGTATGTTGCAAAATCTTAAAGTGTTGCATTCAGAGGCCGTGGAAAATCGAAGAGAACATCAGGATGACTTGAAGAAGAAGAAGAAAAACGATGTTGTTTTACATGAGACTCATCAAGAGCTTGATCAAAACCAAGCCCTAAATTTTCAATCTTCTTCTGCAAGTATTGGGATTCAGGATGATTCACCTGCGAGTTTCGAGGGGTTTATCAAGAGCAGTGAAGAGGAGGGTCGGATCGTAGCGAATTATGACAACAACATGAACAAGGATGTTGTTTTACATGAAACTCATCAAGAGATTAATCAAAATCAAACCCTAAATCTTCAATCTTCTTCTGCAAGTATTGAGATTCAAGATGATTTACTTATGAGGTTTATCAAGAACAGTGAAGAGGAGGATCAGATCGTAGCGGTTTCTG